GCATTTTTAGAAACTGAGTCTCATTTGAGCAGTGACTGAATCCAAAAATCCATATTCTTCCCAATACATTCTGCTGCCATGCACTATACAGAGCTGGTGTCCTTTTAAGAAATGGGGGGGAGTGTGTGGGGGGGAGTATGGATGAGTGGCCATTGTGCTAAAAAGAATTGCCTGTGACACATAGATGGCTGCTCCAGTCTCTCGTTGACCTTGTCTCACCAAGTCTTTTCTTCATTTATACTTGACATACATAGTGTGGTCTGAGGAACCAACAAATGTCTCTTCCACCTCTTGATGACAACACCTGAAACTTTAGTCTTGCTCCCCCTCCTTTCATTTTGGATAACATAGATCCTGAGATATGTTTGCTGGCAGAACACCTAATGAGTTAACTGAATGCTTACTGGGTTTACCAGTTGACAGAGTGAGCCTCGGTTATAGGGCTTTGGAAGCTTAGTTTTGGTGAGGGGATAGAGAGAAAATGGAAGTGAGAAGTCTAAAGCACAATGCATTAATGACCCCAACAGGTCTACTACCTCTCTGACACCGTACATAGCTATTCCACTACCATTGACTACATTCCCTATGCTGTACTTTACATCCCATGAATATATATAGTTGACATTCAATATTATATTAGTTTCAGGTGTATACTGCAGTGGTTAGGCATTTATATAATTTATGAAGTGACCTCCCCCCCATAAGTCCAGTACCCATCTGATACCCTGCATAGTTGTTACAACATTATTGACTATATTCTCCATACTGTATTTCACATCCCCGTGACTATTTTGTTACTAATCCTTTTACCTTTCTCATGAAGCCCCCCAAAACCCCTCTCGTCTATCAACTATCAATTGTTCTCTATTTATGAGTCTGTTTCTGTTTTGTTTGTTCATGTATTGTGTTCTTTAGATGCCACATAAAGTGAGATAATATGGTATTTGTTTTTCTCAGTCTGATTTATTTCACTTAAAATAATACCCTCTAGGTCCATCCATGATGTTGCAAATGGTAAGATTTCATTCTTCTTTATGGCAGAATAATACTCCATTGTATAAATGTACCACACTTTCTTTATCTAATCCTCTATTGATGGGCATTTCAGTTGTTTCCATGTCTTGGCTATTGTGAATAGTGCTGCCGTAAACATAGGGGTGCATATATTTTTTTGAATTAGTGTTTTGGATTTCTTTGGATAAATACCCAGGAGTGGAATCGAAGGGTTGTAAGGCAGTGCTATTTTTAATTATTTGAGGAACCACCGTACTATTTTTCATAGTGGCTAAACCAATATGCAATCCCACCAACAGTGCCCAAGGGTTCCCTTTTCTCCACATCCACACCAACACTTGTTGTTTGGTGATTTATTGATGATAGCAATTCTGACAGGAGTGAGGTGGTATTTCATTGTGGTTTTTATTTCCATTTGTCTGATGATTAATGACATTGAGCACCTTTTCTATTGGTCTCTTTGGAGAAATGTCTGTTGAGGTTCTCTGCCCATTTTTTAATTGGATTTTTTGCTTTTTTGGTGTTGAGTTGTATGAGTTCTTTTTTTAAATATAAATTTTGGATATTAACCCCTCATCAGATGTACCATTGGCAAATGTCTTCTCCCATTCAGTAGGATGTCTTTTTGTTTTGTTGATGGTTTCCTTTGCTGTGAAAAACATTTTAGTTTGATGGAGTCCTGTTTGTTAATATTTTCTTTTGTTTCCCTTGCCTGTGGAGATATATCAGTAAAAATATTACTGAAGGTAATGTCTGAGAGTTTACTTCCTCCTTTTTTTTCTGTGAGTTCTATGGTTTTGGGTCTTACATTTAATTTTTTAATCAATTTTGAGTTTATTCTTGTATGTGGCATAAGAAGGTGGTCCAGTTTAATTTTTTTTGCATATATTTGTTCAGTTTTCCCAGCACCATTTATTATATGGACTGTCTTTACCCTAATGTAAATTCTTTCTTCCTTTGTCATAGATTAAATGACCATATATGCATGGATTTATTTCTGGGCTCTCTATTCTGTTTAGTTGATTTGTGTGTCTGTTTTTATGCCAATAGCATGCTGTTTTGTTTACTATGGCCTTGTAGTATTTGATATCAGATAGCTTGATACCTGCAGCTTTGTTCTTCTTTCTTAGGATTGCCATAGCTAATTGTTTTTTTTTGTGTGTGGTTCCATATAAATTTTAGGATTATTTGTTTTAGCTCTGTGAAAAATGCCATTGGTGTTTTGATAAGGATTGCATTGAATCTATAGATTGCTTTGAGTAGTTTGGACTTTTTAACTATATTAATTCTTCCTATCCATAGCATGGTATATGTTTTTATTTATTTGTATCTTCTTTAATTTCTCTCTTTAATGTCATAATTTTCTGAGTATAAATCTTCTATTTCATTGGTTAAATTTATTCCTAAGTATTTTATTATTTTTTTGGATGCAATTGTAAATGGAATTGTTTTCTTAATTTTTCTTTCAGGTAGTTCATTATTGGTGAATAAAAATGCAACCAATTTCTGAATATTAATTTTGTATCCTGCTACTTTACTAAATTCATTTATCAGTTCTCATAGTTTCTTTGGTGGAATCTGGGGTTCTCTCCATATAGTATTGTCAATCACAAATAATGACAGTTTTCCTTTTTCCTTTCCAATTTGGATGCCTTTTATTTCTTTTTCTTGTCTGATTGCTGTGGCTAAGACTTCTAGTACTCTGTTGAATAAAAATGGTGAAAGTGGAAATCTTGTCTTGTTGCTGATATTAAGGGGAATGCTTTAGCTTTTCTCCATTGAGTATGATATTAGCTGTGAGTTTGTCACATATGGCCTTTATTATGTTGAGATTTGTTCCCTCTATTCCCAATTTGTTGAGAGTTTATATCATAAATGTATGCTGGATATTGTCAATTGCTTTTTCTGAATCTATTGATATGACCATATGATTTTCATTTTTTATTTTGTGTATGTAGTGTACCACATTAATTGATTTGCAGATACTGAACCAACCTTGCATACCAGGAATGAATCCCACTTTATCAAGGTGTATGATCTTTTCAATGTATTGCTGAATTCATTTGCTAATATTTTGTTGAGGATTTTTGCATCTACATTCATCAGGGATATTGACCTATAGTTTTCTTTTTTTCTAATGTCTTTTTCTGGTTTTGGAATCAGGGGAATGATGGCCTCATAAAATGAGCTTGGGAGCTTTTCCTTTTCTTGAATTATTTGTAATATCTTGAGGAGGTTAGGTGTTAATTCTTCCTTGAATGTTTGGTAAAATTCACCTGTGAAGCTACCTGGTCCAGGACTTTTGTTTGTTGGGAGTTTTTTTATTACTGATTTGATTTCATTAGCAGTAATCAGACAATTCAGGTTTTCTGTTTTTTCTTGACTCAATCTTGGAAGATTGCATGTTTCTAAGAATTTTTCCATTTCTTCCAGATTGTCCAATTTGTTAGCATATAGTTGCTCATATAATTGTCTTAAATTTTTTTTTTGTATTTCTGTGGTGTCTGTTCCTTCTTCTTTTTCATTTCTGACTTTATTTATTTGAGTCCTCTTTCTTTTTTTCTTAATGAGTCTGTTTGAAGGTTTGTCAATTTTATCTTTTCAAAAAACCAGCTCTTGGTTTCATTGAACCTTTGTATTGCTTTTTTAGTCTCTATTTTGTTGATTTCCACTTTGATTATCATTTCCTTCCTGTACTTACTCTGGGCTTTGTTTGATGTTCTTTTTCTAGTACCCTTAGGTGTCAAGATAAACTGTTGATTTGAGATTTTTCTTGTTTCTTTAGATAGGTCTGCATTGCTATGAATTTCTCTCTCAGGACTGTTTTCGTTGTGTGCCATAGATTTTGAGTCATCGTGTTTTCATTTACGTTTGTCTCAACGTATCTTTTAATTTCTTCCTTGATCTCATTGTTGACCCATTCATGATTCAGTAGCATGTTTTTTAGCCTCCCTGTATTTCTGTGTTTTCATTTTTTTTCCTTGTTATTGATTTCTAGTTTTATACCATTGTGGTCAGGGAAGATGTTTGATATGATTTCAGTCTTCTTAAGTTTATTGAGACTTGTTTTGTGACCTAACATGTGGTCTATCTTGGGAAATGTTCTATGTGCACTTGAAAGGAATTTATATTGTGCTGCTTTGGAGTGAAATGCTCTAAAAATAGCAATTATATCCATCTGGTTTAGTGTGTCATTCAAGGCCACTGTTTCCATGTTGATTTTCTGCATGGAAGATCTGTTCATTGGTGTCAGTAGGGTGTTAAAGTGATCTCTGTTTTTATGTTGGTTAATATTTGCTTTATATATTTAGGTGCTCCTCCTGTGTTGGGTGCATAAACATTTACTAGGGTAATGTGCTTTGTTGGATTGATCCTTTTATTATTATGTAATGTCCTTCTTTGTCTCTCATTATAGTCTTTGTTTTAAAGTCTATTTTGTTCTATATAAGTATTGCTACTCCAGATTTTTCTTGTTTCCATTTGCGTCAAATATCTTTTTCCTTCCCTTCACTTTCAGTCTGTGTCTTTCCATCTGAGATGGGTGTTTTGTACACAGTGTATGCATGGGTCTTATTTTCTTATCCATTCAGCTACCCTATGTCTTTTGATTGGAGCATTTAATCCATTTACATTTCAAGTTATCATTGATAGAGACATAGTTATTGCCATTTATTATTCATATATATATATATTTTATCTTTGTTTCTTTGTTTTTCTTCTTTCTTCTGCTTGAAGTAGTCCTTTTAACATTTCTTGTAAT